CGTGGTTTTAATTTTAACATTCTCTATTTGTCTATCGGCGTCCTCTGAACACAGGTGACTTCCATTATACACGGAAGTTGTGTTCCTGCAAATAGCCGTGTATAAAAAGACGTGTGAAACGTGAAAGGTTTTACAGTCGCTTTTATAAGCCTTAAGTTGGGGAGAATAGTGTCTGAAACATTAGCCATAAATGTGCTTTAAAATTTAGCTCTTCACAAAGCTCATAATCTAAACCGCGAGTCAGAATTAACTGACATAAAAAGGCAGATTTTTATATTCGTGAGTAATTGTCTTCAGAAAAAGACTCAGAATTTCAAACATTTGGACTGGGAGATTAAAATGTTATGCATAATCTGTACTTTATGTTCATAAGGATTTGAAATACCAAAATGGATATAAATTACAGTGATACAAAATTTCACTTTTTAATTCTAGAAAAGTATTTTTCGTGTTTGGTTTCCAGAAGTGTTCAGAATACAAACGAAATATGGGCCGGTATTCGTTAAAGTGAAAAAAAAAAATAATTTTCATTTCACCTTACACGATAACATAATTCTTAACTCGTCCCTTGCTAAACAAAACCTTGCAATTACTAGAACTTCGTTAAATAGCCCGAACAAACATAAATACTGTCTCTTGGTTTTGTTACGTGGTTATGTGGGTCATGGTGTATAAACTAGACAACGCCTAAGAATTTTCTTGCCCTGTTTGTTGCCACCGGAAAGCAGAGGTTTAATGCTTACAACACGTAGTCACGCCAAGGCTCAGGGTTGTTGCATTACACTGATCCACCGTATTCCTGTCTTTGGCTCTGCCCCGCTAAGACACATCAAACCAAAAATGAAGGGTATAAAGGAATTTCTACCCAACGTCGCGGCTGACTGAATAGCACTTGACAGTTCTCGAGTTAAGATATCGGCCATGAGATCGACTATCCTGAGAGGTCCTTTGTGATTTTCCTCAGTCCTTATAAGTAAATGCCGTGACTCAAACCTAAATTATCTCACGTCACGACCGCTTCCTTCCATATCACTTACGGTATTCGTTAAACATCCCTTCATTCGATGCTATGCAGTACGAGGTCTGACAGTGTCGTAAAATAAAACACAAATAAATATATAACATTAATTTCTGAGGACGTCTCCGAAATTAATGTGCGATGAAGCGGGGGGGGTCAAGCCCCGGGTTAGTGTAGCGGTTATATTAACTTGATACTTGGTTATCGACAGTATTTCATCAATAAACTCTATGACAGAAATAATAGAACTGAGAATGTGATGGATAAATAATTAGGAATGGTGACTAGGTAAGGATTTTGTACGAGGTGATTGTCCCCAATTTTAAGGAATTTTTTGGGCATTTGCCCAGAAATACTGAGGAAACCCATGAAATGTCCCCAGGTGAGTAGAAAACGCGGCCGAGATTGAACGCAGTATTTCCAAACACAGTTCCAGTGCTAATCTTTATAATTAGCCATTTAACAATTTTTGGGTGCGCCCTATGTAACGTTTCTCGTGAGCCTCGTCATTTTATCGACCACTCGTCCGTCTCGAGGGTAAAACTAATTTCTAATCCCTGTTCTAGGCTTGTAGGTGGTCATCATCGTTTTGGAGGCATGTATCACCTTTATACACTGAAGATGGAGGCGATACTTTATGTCGGGTTACAGCCTATAAGACAAAAGTCGCTAAATGTAGGCCAACTTTATTTGTTATGATTTTTATGCTGTATCTTGAAGTCACACCAATTTGTTTTGCCTAATTTAAATGCCCATATTCTTATTTTAATCTTCGTAAACAAATAAGAAGTCCCATTTTATCTGTTACAAACGTACGTAGTAATCTTCGCTATTGTGTCTTAATAACAAAAACTTAGCGACGCAACTTTGGGCAGTGTTCGATTACTCGTTCCCGAAAGGCCCTGTGCGTTGGCAGAACGCGATTTGGTGCCGTGAGTGAGGTCGCTGGTGTCTTTAGGCCATTCCAGTTGTTTCTTCGGGCAGTAACGAAGTACTGAAAGTCAAGCCCTTAAAGAGCATTTTCTATTTGCTTCTCCTCCCTCCCCTGTTTCACCCCAAATGACCTTCGCTTCCTTTTCGTCTTCTGTCACAGAACTTGTTGATGTGTTTTTTATAGTCAGTGCTTGGCAATGCGTTGCACGTTATGCGTCGTGAGTGTTTTGTTCTGTGTGGTTGGTTATGTGACTTCCTTGCAGTTTACGTGTCATCGAGCGCTTGCTGGAAGGTGAGTATAATTATGTTACAGGTTAGGCTATGTTTATTATTATACATACATATGGTCGTGTATTATAATCTCTTTTTAAGGGATGGGCAGGCTGAGAATTTGTGAAAACGAAGTACTTGACGGAAGGTAGGAGGCAATGGGGAAAATTGTATAAGGGTCTTTACAATTTATATTTTTAATCGAATATTAAGTTGAGGAAAATTAATTGGCCTGCACATGTGCAGGATAATATGAAAGCAAGGGACTACTTGGAACATACGTAGGCGGGAGGATATTAATAAAATTAATCTTAAAGTATGAAGTTTGTTGATCAATTTTGAAACTATCTGCTTTTCAAGACCCTACTTATCGAAATTTATTGTAGCAGTGTTTATGTATTACGTTACATTGAACTCAACAGGTCTTAAATGTATAAAGTCAAATTTTGCATTTCGAGAGGCTTTCCTGTTTAAAGAACTTTAGTATAATCGCGTCATAATGTTTACAAATATTTGCATATTCGAAGCTGATTCATAAATTAATGCCCCTTTATACACTGCTCCTTTAAACTAAAACCTGTGTAGTTAAAACTACACTATCTTTACTCTGAGACCAGCCAAGATGAAGCCCCCAACCATTTTAACTCAGTGTTCTTACAACACTGAAATGTTTAACTCTGCGTGCCCACTGAACGATGACAGGGATTTATGCCGCTGATGACTAAACAGACTGTACAGTTGAATGGGGCCGCTTCTAAATAACTGTTGATGGTAGCCTTGTAGTTCTACGTTTGTGACTTGGGTTGAAATATTTTTATTCAATTTTCTGTTCATTTGCAAATGATGTTAGCTAGAAATTCTCTTACAATGAGCACGCTTTTAATAAAATGCGAATCCCATCTGTAAATAATAATTTACAAATGTCCGCCAGTCCGTTTGTTATAATCAGGAATTTACTAATGATTTCGTATTTTCTCATTATCTCCAGGCGCGTTCTTAGATATTACATTGAAATAGGCTACGACTGCTTTTCCTGCCGTTCTTTCCTATTATAATATTTCCATTCGACGCAACATAACTATCGTAATTAATGCAGCGTCGTTAAATGTTTCTCGAACCCTAAGGAAATGTATGTAAATTATGGGACGAATTCCAGTAAATTTTACTGATGAAGGTCAAAATGTGTAAAAAATAAAGTAGTTGCTGTTACTCCTCCCTGTATGTAAAGTACATAAGAACGCGAGTTTTCTTATCAACCTGTTGTTTCCCTTTCATGCCACTCCAGTATTGAGGAATAATTTAAGTTTCAGTTAGCCCACATATGTATCCTGCGTGCATTCTGCGACACGGCACCCCCGAAATTAATCGGCGATGGACGTACCAAATCGGATCTCGCTATCGAGATAGAGTAAAGTAATCAGCTAATGGCTGCAGATAGACTATATAGAAATATTTTGACTTAAACGGTAGCTTCGTCTAGATAATAACGTCCGCTAGCATTTTCATACATGACAGCTTGTGTTGATTTATGGAGAACTGTTGATTTCGCACAGCGATATTATGATAAGCAAGCTAATAATGGAGCATTTTGGTTAATAAATAGAACCTCGATTTACCTGAGTTTCGTTACAGTTGAGATTGTGTGTATAATTTATTCGATAAGTAGCCCACTGTTGCATTCGCAATGAAATGAAACTGAATTAAATTCGCGGTTTGTTTGCTACAATGCAGTTAAGATCTTTTGTCTTCTCGTCAGCCGTCTGATATCGCAGAGATTAAATATGGCACAACTGTAATTGTACCTGTCATTTTGTGTGGGTGTAAAGATTGGTATCTCACATTGTGGGAAAAACACATCTTGAGGATTTTTAAGAACAGAGTGCTGAGGAAATTATCTGGACCTAAACGGGTTTAACTGACACGAAGGTGGAGAAAATTGCATGATGAACTCGTCATCAGATATTATTAGGATGCTAAAATCAAGGAGGATGAGATGGGCGGTGTATGTAGCATACACTGCAGGATGAGACATGCGTAAAATTTGGAAGGGGACTCTGAAGGGAAGAGAAAAATTCTGAAATCTACTCCAGGTGACAAGGTAGTAAAAACTGGATCTCAGGGAAATAGATGTGGAGGATTGGATTTGATTGGCTCAGGATATGGACAGATGGTGAGCTTTTGTGAAAACGATAATGAATATTCAGGTTCTACAAAATACGGGAATTTTCTTGACTAGCTGGCCATATTAACAGCTTCTGTATGAGGACTCTTCTACATGAATAGTGTATTGATGTATCGAACGATATGTAAACACAACGTTTCTCCAAACTGTACAGCGTTTTTTAACAATTACCCCTATTTTTACTGTAAATTAATCTTTTGATTCTCTAAAAGTGTGACAATAGCTGACTTGAATGTTTCTGAAAGTGGTTAATTGATTAATTTTAAAATTGTGTGTTTTGTACGTACATTCTATGAGGTATATTAATGCGCATGACGTTTCGGTGGTTGGTTCTACTTCCATCTTCAAGTTATGATTGTTGTTACACGAACAAACTTTTATGTTTTGTTTACTTTTAATATTAGTTTTTCCTATGGGACTCTAACTCTGTGCTCTAGTATTAAGCGTACTAGCCTAGCATTTGAAAGAATACGCTTTAGACTTCAACCGTCGCCAGTAATATTAAAAAAAGAAAGCCCTAAAGAACCTTCAGTAAAATAACATCCATTCACCCGAGTGGTCTATTGCCTGCTATTACTTAAAATAAGTCCAACTCACCCGATGCTAACCCGAAAAGTGTTGTTCCGATACAAGCGGATGGAAGTCATTTCTTGGAAGAGCGAAAGCACTTTCATATCACGAAGCTGTCGAATATAAAGGTCAGGTATCCAAATTTTGTGGCGGTCTTCCCAAGTGATTTCCACGTATTCATCTGATATGTTGACGTCATTATCGATGAAGACTCGTACATCCTCCCAGTACACATTCATGAACACATCCAGCGAGATCTCCTGGAACAAACTCAAGGTTTTACAATCCGATACCCACGTAGACATCACATGCGCAAAATCACACTCGTTCATTAATCGGAACAATCTAGGATTGTGACGCTGTGCGGTCTTGTAGGTGGTAATCAACGTTTCGGAACAAAGAATTGTCTCTGTCTTCAAGATGGTTACCAAAATAACTCCGAATTGTTAGTAACTACATGCAAGACTACGTGGCGTCACAGTTCAGAAGACCACAATCAGATCTTCACCGCCTACAGAACCTCATATCTCATTTTTCTGTATGTGGTACGTGTATAGGCTGATGAAATTACTCTTCTAGATACAAATAATAGCTCTGAAATTATTTTGCAAGGCAATAAATAACCACAGATAAAGAAAATTATATGACTACTTTATACATCGTAAAAACGCTATAAGTTATAAATAAGAAACAAAAACTCAGAAGCCATTTGTAAATATTTACAAATTTAAATTCCTGAAAACAGAAGTAAGAAATAAAAACAAAATTCCCCTTAAGTTAAGAAAAGTTTTTATCAGTTTATTCTCTTCTTCATTTCAGACAGTAAACATTAAGATAAACTGAAAATAATTTAGAATAATGCTTCGTGTGCTACTCTTGAAATAAGATTTATTACTCTCTGTTACGAATGAGTACTCGAAACTAAATTCCAAAGGAAAATATTTACATCCGTGGCAGATTAATTAATCCTTTAAATCCACGTGATAACTATATGTCTCAGCTGCTTCAGTAATAAATAAATCTATATTTCTTATTGTGTTTTACGTGATTCCTTGTTTAAACAGGAATTATTTCGTTAAATATCAATAACAAATTAATCTTTATCATGGCGAAAAGTGGTGTTTTCTTTGCGGTAAGTAAAGTAAAGCTGTCCCACTATACGCCATGTAGGCGCTTGGGAGGAGTGGAGGTATAGCTCCTACTCATTCTTGACCTCGGCACTAGATGGGGGTGAGTGGTCAGCATCACGCCCCGCCCGGCTTTACCCCCGGGAAAGTATCCCGGTACCCATTGTAGAGGAGGCTGGGTGGGCCCGGTCTGGACGCAGAGGCTAGAGGAAAAATCCTCTGTCCTCGTCGGGGATCGAACCCCGGTCGCCCAGTCCGTAGCTAGTCACTATACTGACTGAGCTACACCGGCTGTACCGTCTGAATTATTAAATATCGTTTATGCAAAATTAGGATTTAAAGGGTTAAATTGAAAATGGGAATTGTAATTAGGACACTTTGCTTGGCATTGTTGTGATTATAAAATCGGGCAATATACGGTCGGTTGAATCATTGACTCATTTGGAAGACACAAATACAAAATTTTGATGTGATAGTCTGATCAATAGTCGACACTTTTAAAACTAGAAAAAGAAGGGTGGATAGTATTGAAATGGGTAATATAAAACATGTTATGAAAATGTGAACTGGATTAAACTTACTCAGGAGCTAGTCAAATGAAGTGTGTAGGGCTGAACAAAATCACACATTAGGAGAAACGCAATTTAGCGAGTTAACTCAGCGTTAGCGGACTGACTTGCTTTCGGGGTGCACGGCCTACATAGAATTGTTGTGGATTTCCAAAGTCTCTTCTAAAAATGTCAGTATATAATCTTATAATAAGCCACGACTGCTTTTTCCACATCAGTTTATTAATTCATTATCATACTACGCTATTTAATTGTGAGTCGTGCAACTTCAGCAGTTGATGAAGTTCCAAAATATGAACTACTCAGTTAAGCTAAGAGAGAATAATCTACAAGCGAAATCTGCTATAAATATGTTATAATCTTATCTAAATCTCTAAAAGTAGTAAATTTGGTATTAAATAAAGTAGATTATCGCCTGTATCAGACATTTTAACAGGAAATATAGCGCTTCTGCAATGTGGGCATTAGCAAATTAAAAGCCAATTGCTAATTTGATTGTATACAGCGTTTATATAAATAATATAATGGAGTAAAGTCTCGTTCAGAAATTGAGGTGTGAAATAAGGCAGGGATAAAGAAACAGAAAACATAAATAACACGTGCCTCAGCACGAAATAAAGACTGATTTTTTCATGTAATAGTGTGCATCGATTGTGCGACATTGAACAACCTAAAACATTCGAAGACATGAAACGTTCGACGCCTTCCTTACTGTCTTGACTCATGTAATGTCACATATTTTACTGTAAATAAATATCAGTCATGAAACTGCATGTTTCAAGGTCACAGTAAGATCGTACAACGTTTCAACACGAACAGTATAACCCAGGCGAGTGAAGGCAGTTGAGAACTTGCAGCGTAGCAAATCTAGCAACGTTGAAGCCCTTGCGTGGTCTTAAACCGTGCTCTTTGGTGACGGCTACTTAAGTTTTAGGACACCCTGCGGACCAATCACTGTTATGCCGATAATTTGATAGAGCGGTGTTACGGGATGAGGTTTACTTCATGTAAAGTCATCGTCCAAAATCCCCACGGGAAAATTTTAACAGAGAGAAGGAGAGTACAGTGCTCTAATGGGACAGGCTTCTTGAGTGAGTTTACAAAACCCAAGATACAGTAAACGTTTGGTAATTTGTGATTATTTTACCTTGAAATATGCAGTCCGTGTTGAATTAAAACAGTTAATTTTATTCCATAAAATATACTCGTGTAGAGCACAGTTATTATGGTTATTATTAAATACATCGAGTGTTTTCTGCATGCAGTTCATAATTATTCACCTTTTAAAATATTCTCTAGTCTTAATGGTGTCTGTAGGTTCATAATACAATCGATGAACGCGTCAGAGTGGTTAGCACACTTACTTCGTATTGGGAAGTCCCAAGTTAATATCTACCCCTGGAGACGGCATATCCTGACTGAGAGTTTTGTTGTTTTCCTCAGTTCCTCCAGGTAAATGTTTGAATAGTAAGCTTACCTTAAATTATGTTACAGTCGCTTTTCATCTCTTCCAGTTCATTATCCATTAATTAGCCTGGCATTCGACGCTGTAGGCTATTCTTTGAGCTACTAACAGCAAATCACAAAAGCGCCATTGGGTCCTACACATCATTCAGTTAATTTAATTTAATATCTACACAAATTATTATATTTCATTTTTGCCGAATGGCTTCATTATTATATTCCAGATTCTTATTTAATCTTTATTAGCATCAGCAGCTTTAATATCTTATGATTTATAAGATAAGATCTTTTCGGTTCTACTGGACCATCTTTGATGCATCCCGCAAAATGTTGCTGTCCACGATATCCGATCGTGTTAAATTATTGTTCTTATGCACTGCACAAAACATGTTACTAAATTAAGGTCTTATTCTCTTTCTCATAGAGCATCTAAAATTTACAGTTTACGTTATACGTGCTTTTTATTTCAATTATGGAAGATGTTATTAGTGATTTTGCTGAAGTCAAACAAAATAATTTTATTTTATATTATTTTCATTTTCCAAAGATGATTAAAGAATATTAAGAATATTAAGTAATAATTAATTTAAGATTATGTGTAGCAAATAAATATTTACATTGTTTTATTAAGTATTTTGTTTAAGAAATTCAGGCAAGGACAAACAATTTTATCTAAGTTAATAAAAATAATAAATGGCTTCGAGAATATTTGAAGACAACGCAGATGAATTCCATCCCACCAAGCGATTGGCTTAAATACATCTAAGCAATATATACTGAAAACTGTGAAGAGACTGGAGAGTTTAGAACATGATATTTTGTGAGAACGGGACACAAAAAAGGTGAAACATATTTTAAAAAAGGGGGAAACTATGTAAACTGTAAATATATGATGATTTAATTCTGTGCACACGGTAGGTTTTAAAATATTAGCAATGGACTCGGAAATCCTCCATAAAAATTATTCGCATTTTGTCTTAGTAAATCTCGGTATGTCTGTAATTAAGGTAATTAGAGCTCTCCCCCTAACGTTTACAGATTTCAGTGCAGGGTTCACAGAATGCGTCACTTCGAATCACAACAGCTACTCACCTCTTTGCTTTCGTCCACTGCAGAAACACGATTAATGAACAGCGATATAAACACGTCCGTTCGTTTTCCCGTAAATTTCCCTGCAACAAACAAATCTTGTTAATTGATATTTGAGGCTACATTTACAAAGAAATATATTTCTTTAAAATTTCTTATTTTTTAAAATTCTGATGTAAGCATTTTATTATAGACGTTATGCCTTTGCTCAAATATCGTGCAAATCGATTCAATAAAAAGTTATTCAGATTTGTCAGTCATATTCGAAAATTTTATACTGGAATGACAATTTATATTTCCCACTTTCTGGACACACATGAGTATATATAACTATATATACTTGGTTATTGGACAGAACGGCCTAAGTGAAACATAATTTGTATTAAGCCGTTTTTACCGATCATAAGCCCGGGGCCATAGGAGAACTCGGTTATTTAGCAAAATACTTAAAAATACAAAGAGGGAAAATAAGTTTTAAATTGTGTATTTATGATCTCAAGTGTTGGAATTTTTTCATGGAACGATCTGTTATGTCAACGTGGCATCTCGTTATCATTTTAGATTTAATAACGTAAAGAGTGTAGCGCCCTGATACCTCGTCCCAGATAAAAATTTCATTATCTGAGATCAGAAAATTTACCTCTTTATATTTTTTTCTGTATTTAGCCAAATTGCAGTTCTCCTGTGACCCAATGGGGCGTTTTACGTGTTCGGTCGTACACTAAAAGCAGAGAGGCTAAATTTATGTATGTGCTGACAGTCAGTGTAAGGTAGCCCCAACATTAATAGACACTAAAATATAATTAATTGTTACTCAGATATGACTGTATGACTTAAAGCGAATATTTTTGTTAGATTAGTGTATGAAGGACAATGTAAAAGTGGCAAGAATCACGGAAGGTAATTAAGGTAAGACTTAAGTGAATGTCGACTACTCTGCGTTTTTTGATAAAAATTTATGAAGCTGAGGTAAATGTCAAAAGTTCGTGTTTTTCTAACGAAAGGCCCTTATCTCGTTTGCTTATTTATGAAGAAAATGTTCACAAAAATGGAATATTTCTGCTCACTGTAGTATTAACTTAGCCATACAGATTGAAGTTTCAATAGTTGGATCTCTTGGGAATATACTTGAGAAGGTGAAGTTTGGTACACTTTAGTAAACTTATATAATCTTTCATAGACGTAGAAAATTGTATTTAACGTAACGTAGTAACAGAATCAACTCTTAACTTTTTTACGAGTACTTAAATCAGAATTTACTCGAAATAAAATATGTGGAATCAATATTATTGGTTCAAATTTAGGCCATTGCAGATTCATGATTCTGATCCGTACCCGGTCTTAACATGGAATGGTGGCTTTGAACGCAGGTACGTACATTTCCAGCTGCAATTAATATATACGTTCATAACTGCTTTGATGTCCTGAGTGCGGGGTGAATTGTACCTACTTAGTTTGGCTGGCTATCAGTCGTTTTCGGTTTCTTGTAATAGGAGTTCCATGGAATGAAATTCGATAAAAGGGTTTTAATGTAGTTAACCAAATAGGAAATTTTATCGAAACTGGTGCAACCGTTTCTAAGATGAAACTTTGGAAAGATACTACCTCCCTATTCGGCGTTTATTTTATGCGTTTTACTGAAAATAAAACAAATAAAAGTTACAAATTCAATAACGGCATGGTCCTTCGAGGTAATGCCCGAATGATAAGGACAAAGAAACGCTTGAAAAGCAGAAATTTTTCACAAAGACGGATTTTAGAATGAATAGACTGTTACTTATTACTTCCGGTTAACGTCTGCTTTCAGTTGGAAACATTTAAAGGATTGTGGGTGATACAATTTCTCCAATCTTATTTTTTAGAAAATGGATAAAGGCAAAATGACCTTATTTCGATAAGACTTCAGGTTCTCACAGCGACGTGTATGAAGACGGAGAATTGACTCGACCTTGAAATCATGTCGTCATGCTGAATGCTGTCCTGTAAACATTGCCGCTTACTATAAATGTTTCACTGTTGGAGCAGTTTACATGATATTTGATGCTATGGGCGTTTTACGAGTTATCCGACCTAACAGACAGAGAACAGAACGTAGTATATATATATATATATATATATATATATATATACATACTAAAAATAAAAGAATGAGACGAGACAATGGAAAGATATAATATTAATGCGTAACTGAGAGTCGAGGGGTGCTTCTTTTGGCATATTAGAAAGACTGTGCGCCTGCGCAGATAGATGTTTCTGTTTGAATTTCAAATCAATTTCCCGTTCATGTAGTAGTTTGGTAGATGTTCAATCTGAAGATGAAAACAGTAAGCTCCTCTGAAATGTCGGTCAGTATCTGCCAGACTACACGGTATAACAACATCCCAGAAAACAGCCATGTTTCTACCTTAGTTAGGTACGGAGCCATGCGTGAGTACGAATGGCGTGGATTGAAACTCCGCGCGTCACTTCCCCGGTTAACTGATTTAAGGTTAGGTTAGGTTAGGTTAGGTTCACCTTCAGGCCTTCTTTCGACCCAGGAAAGAGTCCTCCGACATCCACTGAACAATAACTAAACTGGGTGTGAATGTCTTGACATACTGGGAACTTCAGTGAAGTGAGTGTTCTTAATACAAAATTCCGTTCATAAACTTTATGTTCAAATCAATTTAAATTTGTTTGTCTTCCATAGTTGTCTCCGCTCCGTATGGAAATGTCCTACTCGAGTTTCTCTAAGAATGATAAATTAAGTTACCAACTTGATGTTTCCTATGCTTACGGATATAATACTACAAATTTTATTTCCAACACTTCAGGTTGTATAACAATTTGGGCGTTAGTAAAATATGTTTAATTTTCGCTCCTGCTTTTATGCAAAGCCCAGCACTTATCAGACCACAAGGCCACTCTTGCAATCCTTTGCCCATTTTACAGCACATCGGTAGTATTTGCCATTCGACCACACTGACGACATCACCAACACTAACTTCATGGAGCAGAATATTTCTTGAGACAATGATAATCCCTGCCCTTATGGAACCCCAAGTTTAATTGCAGCTATTGGAACCTGTCCTGACCCTGCTGATTCCAGTCCACAATATCACACACTTTTCCAACAAGACCCTAACTTTAATATTATCCTTTCATCTATGAATATGTCTCCGAGTTTGTGTCTTTTTCATAGATTCTCTTGCTAACATTTTGCATGCATTTTTCTACCCTTGTTTGGTTTATTCACCCATTGAAATATACTAATATTATTTTCATGTGTCACATAAATAATTTATCTAACGCACGTTCTAATTCCTTGTCAAAGCTATTCCTTTACATCATAATTGTCACTTCTATCCTTAGTTTTGGCATGCATGCTGAGCATTGTGTCACACAAACGGCCACTTAATAGTCAAATGTGGAGTCCAAATTAGACATTTTGGTGTTGAATCCTCAGGGATCAGTCCGCGTCATAGTTCATGTGGTTAATCGTCGTCTTACACCACACAGACGCAGGATCATTTCCAGAACAGTCCATGCGGTATATCTGCTGGCACTAGGGTAAGGTCTAACCCCTGCATCTCAGTGTTCTCTCAGACGATCTTAATTCTGACATGCTCCACCACATTCATCTACCACTGTTCTCTTAGTGTGCTGCAGGACTTGGTACACAAAACTTCCCGAATATTTATGTATTGCTATTAAATTTATTTCAGGCAATGTGCAGATTCCAACCAGACATCTCAGTAAAGTACCATTGCCACAAATCGCCTAAAAATCAGCACATTGAATCTCATTTTGGGCATTTTTCTTCTTGGGGGGGGGGGGGG